TAAACTAACACTATTATACTAAAACCTCAAGAAAAAAATCACCCATTGAAAACCCTAATCACCTAAAAGAACCAGCCATTGCAAACAAAATCACCTCAACACCTCAAAAGCACCAATACTCCCTATGATTAAAGGCCAGAAAATCACAAAACAAAACCATAATCCAACCCAAATCCATCAAATTTTACCTCAAAACAAAGCATCCCCCGATCCAAAATGGTCCCTTTCCCACAAACAGAGAAACAAAAGCCCACTTTTCAAATTCAAACATCCAAAAAACACATACAAAAGGTACTACAAAGATTATATAGAGAGAAACAAACCTTGGTAGAGATGAAGAGAGAGAAAGAACACCACAGAAGAAGAAGAAGAAGAAGAAGAAGTCCGTTGGAGCAGTGATAGAAAGCTCCCCCCAGACAGACCTCTCTCTGTGAGCTCTTTTTTTTTTTTTAAGTTTGTTTTTGAGGATTTTTTTCAAAGGGGAGGATGAAGAGTTGAAGCATTGCTGTAAGGCTTTGACGTACGAGTGTTTATTCAGTTGGTTTAATTACTTTCGGATGAAATTATTTTTAATTATTTTATTTTTATTAACTAAATTAAATTTTTTAATTTAAAAATTAACTGACCGAGTTTGACTAATTTTGTTATTAATTCAATTATATATATTATATTACAACATATATAATTATTAAATAAAATTTGTAGATGTGGATCCTATGGACAATTTCTCTTTTTTATAAATAAAAAAATTTTAAAATTTTTCTTTATAATAACACATAAATACTTATTAATTTTAAATTATCTATCAAAAAAATATATTTAAAAAATTATTGAATTATCTCAAATTTTTAAAATTTAAATGAAAAATTAATTTAAATTCAAATAAAATTCCCTTCTTTCATATGTCACCTCATCTCTGTCACATTTAACAAACCATGGAATGCATCTTCCTTCTATTAAGGCTTTCTGTGATACACGGAATCAAACTCTATGATGGCTTGAATCGCTTTCCTATAGATGTTAATATACTCATATTTTCTCTATGTAGAAACATAGCAAAGAGGGCGACTGTCTTCTTTCTAAACATCTTTAAGAGTAAGCAAGTAAGCAAGGGCAAGTCAGTTTGGAAGAACATGAGTATCTCAAGCCCCTTCCTCTCCTCTTTCAGCCAGCCTGTCTCAGCCCCTGTGTAAAGAAAGTGTATCAGTAGGGCGTAGACCGAGTAGTTGTAGAAGTCTACCTGTCTTCCCAAAGATAGCGGGTTATCTTCTCAAGCAAAAGCAAGTTTTCAAACTTAATGACATGGCTTCTGTCACACTACACCCTTAACTTGGCTCCAATCACTCAAAAAAAAAAAAAATCATTTCAAAGTCTCCCCTTCATCCTTTAACTGTTGCCTTCTGTTATGATCGCCATCATTTCTATTGTGCAATTTTTTGTGCTTCTCTATCTAAAAGCAAAGCACCATTAATGTCAGCCAAACGTTAGAATTAGACTGCCAACCCTCTAACTCAAGATTCCAAAATTGTTCCATCTCTTTGAAATCTTGACTGCTATATCAATCATGATATATATTTTTCATTTTAACGTATCTCAAATTCCCACCCACATCTTTGTTTTTTGAGAAGGCTACAACTAATGTGTTTTTTTGCTGAGAAATCGTGGCAATTAAGGGTGCAGAACGTGCTAGAATTCTTTAGTGCAAGGCTGCTAGCTCCACTACAGGCAATTCAAACATTATTTTTAGCAGGCCTTCGCAACACCCGTGTGCTCTTATGACTTGGATGATCAACTACAGACTCTCTTTTTTGCTGTAATGAACTAATCAGTTTGATTGTTAATTCTTATAGTACTAACTATTCAAAGATGCTGCACTTGAGCATTTGGCGTTTAATGATTGCTGCATAATATCTCTCTATTAATATGAGACTGAGAGAGAGATTTGGGCACTAGAGGTATTCTTTGTGTGAATTTATATAATTGGGTTTTGCTTCTGTTGATATTGTTGTTTCTCTTACTTTTGGTTTCCAATTTTCCAGGTCAATTACATACATTTAATTCTTTTTCTATTTTAAATATAGGCTCCTAATCTTTTTTATATTTTTTCAGTAATTTGATTAATTCACAAAGGTACATAATACATGCACAATATATTTTATTGTTCTTATAAAAAATAATTTTTCTTTTTTCTTTTTTGTATTTTGATAAACATTTCTTATCTTTTTTCTTATTTTGTTTAGCAATTTAATCAAGATCACAAAATTAAAAATATGCTAATATATTTTTATTATTATTGAATTTATCATTCAACAATATTTTTGTTATTTTAAAAAATAATGTAAGGTTCATTCAATTAATCTTTGAAAATATAAGAAAATTTCAATTCTCTTCCGTTATGATCTTGGAAAATTAGATTTGTATCAAATTCATGGTTTTTTCATCTCTTTCGAAAATATTTTCAGGATCTCGAATTGAATTTTTTGTAATCTTTACAGGAAGGGTGACCTCAATTGAACAATTCTTGCAAAAGTTGTTCCCTTCCGTATACAAAACAATCAATGATGAAACCAAACATGAGAGCGAGTATTTCAAATTTAATAGCTAGCTATTGACCCTGTTCACCTCTTCCCTCTGCTACTTTGGTAGATTGCTTCGTTGCTTCAATGGTAACAAGGATTTTTGGACGAAAAGCTTTCGTATGTTTTGGAGGCCTTGCTTTCTTTGCAGGCTCAATTTTCAATGGTATTGCCATGAATGTTGAACTTATAATCATTGGCTGTTTACTACTTGGTGTGAGTGTTGGGTTTAAATTTGAAGAATTTTATTTTATTATTTTAACTATTAATATTTAATATATATTAGAAAATTTTTTATTTTTAGTTTTTCAAAATTTTAATTTTCTTATAATATATCTGATGTATATGTTTTAATAATTTAAATATAATTTTAGAAAGAATAATAATTTATGTGTATTCATACATATTTAAATAGATAAAATTATTTTAACTTTTCTTTTCGACAAGTAAAAAATTTTTCAAAATTTTTCTTTATAATAATACATAAGATATTTTTTAATTTTAGATTATTTATAAAAAATATATTTAAAAAATAATTGAATTATTTAAAAATTTCAAAATATAAATGAAAAATCAATTTAGATTTAAAATAATTAAATAGATAAAATTATTATTTTTGCAAGATTTTATTTAAATAAGTAAAATTGATTCTTATTTTTTATTTATGGATTAAATAAATATATTTACAAATCATTGGTTATCCAAATCCTTTTAAGATGTATTTATTTGAAATTTTTTTTAATTATTCAAAGCTTTGTTTTCAACTAAAAAAATTATCTTTATCCATCAAATATACCTTTAGAAATATCTTAAAGGTTGTATTACAAGTAAAAATTATAAATATAGTCAAATATTTTCAACATAGTATATAGTAACACTAAAAATTATATATATATATATATATATATATATATATTACAACATACATTGGCACTTCAAAAGATTTATCACATGGATGCTATATGGATACTTTTTTTGAATGACATATAGAATAGTTTTTTAAAATAGTAGGATAGTTTTTTTTTATTATTATTACAAATTAAATAATATTAAATTTATTCAAATATCAAAATTATTCAAATTATAATTAAAAATAAAATCAATTTAGAGATATATTTTTAAAAATTAAAAATATGAAATATGGATTATATTTTCATAATAAATAATTTTAGTTATTCATCAAATAACCTTTTTTAAAAATTATTTAATTGTCAAAATCTTTCTAACATATTTAAAAATTATAACAATTAAGTTCATCAAATCTTTCAATAACTTTTTTTATTTTGATTTGAATTAATAAAAAATTCTAAAAAATTTACATAAGACCTAAAATTCAAACAAATTTTCATACTAAATCTTTAAATAATAAGTTTATCAAAAGGATTATATCCATATCAACTTTAATTATCAAATTTATATTTGAAATATACGTAAAATATTAATTTCATCTTTATTACTTATTATATCCTTTTTAAATTAAAAAAATAATTTAAAAATTATCTATTCAATTTTAATTGTCACTAAAAAATTATTCTACAAATTTAAGACTATAAATGTAATGTATTATATCAATTTTTTGTTTTTTTTCAATTTGCAACTTTTTCCAATATATATGTTATTACTTTTGTAATTTATTTTTGATATATAATTTTTTTCAAGATATATTTTGTTATTGTTTCAATTTTGTTCTTATGAAAAATGGTTTTTTTTTTCAATTTTTTTCTTTTATTACATATCTTTTAATATTTTTCATATTTTATACATCAATTTGATAATATTACAAAAGTAAAAGTATGTTAATACTTCTTTTATTATTTAATTCATCATTTTATAATATATATGTTTTTATTTTTAAAGAAAGAGATACTTTATTTTTATTTGATATAATCTTGCAAGTGTATAAATATTGTTGTAAATAAAAATGATTTTAATGAAAGACATATCATTTTCCTTTTACTTTTTTCAAAAATTTTATTTTTATAACAGTTAGTATATATAAATTTTATATATATTATAAAATTTGAAAGAAATTAATTTGTATGTGTATATTTATAATAAATAGGTAAAATTATTTCATGTATCGTACGGATCTTAATTTAGTAATAATATGTTAAATTATGTTTTAAAATTTTTATTTAAAATAAATTAAATAAAATTATCTAATAAAAATATTTAAATATCGAAGAATTAAATTAAAAACTTTAAGTAGAAATGAGTAAGTTTATTATTTATAATTTTATATATAAATTGTATTACATTTTAATTAAAATTTGGATTAATTTTATTTTTAATCAGATTAATGAAAAATAAAAAAGTTTAAACATTTATTTTAATAATTAAGCAAAATTAATTTAATAATCCATCAATTAATCAAATTAAATACTCCTATCTTTGGGGTATCACTGTTGGTTACTTCTGTTTTTTTGTCCATTGTTCGATTCTGTTTTTTTAAATGGAAAGAGAAACTCTCTCACCTCGGACCTCAAGTTTTAGTTTAATTATGATATTTTTACTAAAATGCGAATATAGTCAATTTACGCAAGTCCCGTTAAACGGCGGGTTGACTTCTACCAACCTGAAACGTTTCGCCTTTCTCTCTAATGAGATGTAAGATTCATTTCCATCGCTAAATCCTATCCAATTCTCCGTCACTAATTTCCCTAAAAAATCCCTCTCTATTTTTCTAAAAGGAGCCATATTTGCAAATATGGAGTTGGTGAATCTCGGGGTTTCAGTTCGAGGTAAATACTCTTTAACCAGGACTTAGTTAATCATATGAAGGCCTTCAAGTTTTCTTTTTTTTTTTTTTTTTCTTTTTTTAAATCTAAGTTGGTTGCATAAGATGAGCATTCAACCTTCTGGAAATGGGAATTTTGGTTTTTGTTCTATTATTGTTTGATCATTGCTGGAAAGTTTGTTTAAGCAAAGTTCATCATAAGCAGCTGTATGACCCAATTTTGACATTCGAGAATAGATTTTTTTCTTATGCTCAAGTTTGAAATTAGGTCAAGTTGTGTAATAGGGTGTAGATGTGATTAGGGATATGGGTTTTTGTCCTTGACCCTTTTGTTCTGTTATTTGTTGGAGAAGAAATTAATTGAATTTTGCCAAAGTAGAGTAAAAGTGTTTTATAGTTAGATGAGTATTTTGTTTGCTAATGAGTTATGAGTTGAAAAGGAGAAAAGAGTTAGCTAGATTATGTGAGCATTTAGGTTAACGATAACAATGTTTTGTTTTTGCCTAGATTTGAATTGAACTACTCCTTATGACTTGAAGGATCTCATTAGATGTGAACACAAATTTGCTTAACATTGTAATGCTGTAGACTGTCCTACTGAACCATGCACGCCAATGGATGCTTGCAAACCACTCAGACTATGGCTGCTTTTGTTGAAAATGATACAAGACATAATTATGTCATTGATATACAAAAAAAAAAAAAAAACGGTGTATACACAGTTTCCTTCTCTTTTTCTAGTAATTTCATTCTGGTTTGTTTTTTCTGCTATCCAGTGTTTCACCTTCAATTTTTTTCTTTACATGTTTTTTCGAGAAGTGGCATTCTGACTAACCCTTTTGACAAAGGAATTATAAACGGCATGTATGAGTTTGATGTCCGCAAGCCTCTGCAATTTTGGTTTGAATCCTCAAACTAGACTTTATGTGGAAAGTCTTTTATTTCATGATCATCACTTGGGTTTCTTAACATCCATGCCGTGCAAGAGAATGGAGGTCCTCAAAGACTAGTTGACATCACAAGGCTTGTGCCAGATATCTCTAGGAATTACTTTCAAAGTCCTTCTAGAAAGGCACTTTTTGTGGAATCCCCTTGTTGAGAGGTTTTTATGTTGCACAAACAATCTCTCTATCCTTTGGAGCTTTATGAGTCAATGATGTGATTGCAACAGTACTATGTGTGCTTCTGATAGAGTATGTTACAAGGTTTTATTACAGCCGTCCAAAGGTAACCTTCCCTTTTGCTCTTCTCAACAATTTGAGGATTGGTTTCACCATGGACTCTTCATTGATGCTTTTAAGCTTGCCAGTTGATTATATCCAGTTGTCTTGATGCTTGCTATGATCATTAATTCTTAGTAATAGTTTATAAACCTTTCAATTTTCCTATAATGTATATTTTCTAATATATATTTTGCCTTATTCTTCTGTCACATCCTCTTTTTCCCAGTTTCGAAGCTACCTATTTATTTTCTTCCCTTCTGATTTGTTCTAAGTTCCCCTATGCTTCTTTTCTTGTTGCTGTATGTATGTAAACTGTCTTCTGCTTGCATGTTGGTGAAGCAAACTCTCATGCCAAAAATTATTAATGTGTTGATGTATTATCCTAATTGTTATGTTGAAAAGCTTGTAACTTGGTGACCCAGGCATACGTCTCTCCCCATGGTAACTTTCATGCTGAATTGGATGTGATCTTTTCCCGTTCGGTTTGCTTACTTGGAGAAACTGCAGTAGTAGTTCTGCAGTAGCTAATTTGTGTTGGCATAATTCTACTTCCTTTCTGTTCTTGAAACTGTGAAAGATAAAGCTATATAAAGATATATACCATTGGAGGCATAAACTGCTTAGAGGATGCTGCATGATGCTATAAGACGTGGGTAGTTTGGAATAAATATTCCAACTAGCTTTGCATTATTTATTTAATACTGTGCCAACTAATATTGTAAGAATCCTTTTGGCATATCATGTTCCCAAGTTCCAAAATTTTGTTTCTCTAGTCTCCATTAGAGATTAATGACATTTTTCGGTGCATGCCCTCTTCGTAACCATTTTATACATGATATGACCAACCTTGTTGCATTATTTGTTGTTGATCTTGAGGTAGCCCCTAACCCTAATCTTCCCGAATAGACAAGCTTGGGTGGTCTATTTACTATTATGATGGTACTCTTGATCAATCTTGGAAGTTGATATTTTACTACATTTTTTTTGGTACCTTAGGTTGTTTAGGCTTTGGTTGATGAGCAAGCGCTACTTTGTCACGAGTCTTGATGTGTCTCTTTAGGAAGATTTATTAAACGGTCTTCTAGTTTCACCGTCCTTGATGGTGCCTGCTCTTTAATTTCTCGAGTAGCAATTCTCAACTCTTAATTCCAGCAATCAGGTTCAAATCTTATGTTATAGGCCGAATCAATTAAAATAGGAAATGGGCTTAGTAGCTCTTGAGTCCAATAGTGCCAGCCCATCTAATGTATGTTGTTTTACATTTTTATTAAGTTCGTTAATACCAGGATTTGTTGTACGGGCCTTAACGATGGGATTAATTACAACCCAGTTGAGTTTCTATCTGTGGGAGAATATTTAGTATGAGGAATGATTGTAAAGGATTCATTCTGATGTCAATACAATTCTTGAATCTTCTCTTACATATTCTATCGGCCTGTACCATCTTAGTAGTCTCGAATTAAAAAAAAAAAAAAAAGATGGAAGGCGTAACGCATAATCTTGTCTCTCTTTGTAGCATGCTTAGGCAAATATTTTGTGACACTTGAATTTTGTGTGTGACCATGCTAGGGAGATGATTCTTATAATTAATTCATTAGTATGTATGTTTCCTTAAACCGATTATTAGAATTGGATTATCCGAAATGCATTGTTCTTTTCTAGGAGGATACTGGCTGAGACCCTTTGTTGTGACCTCTTCACTGCTAAATAGATAGAATTGAAAGGAGAAGGAAATTTCTGATGAAAACAAGAGATATAAACGTAACCATTCTGTAAAGCCTGAGAAGTAACAGGCTTCATCCTATCTATATGGATTAAGTGATGACTAAATTGTAGACTTGCAGTCTTTTACCTGTCGAGATATGAGATTTTTTATTCTATTTAAAACAAGGTCATTGGAGTTATTGCCTTTAAGGTATCTATTTGAATGAGTGATGCGATAGGCTTTACTGAAATTAAAAATGACAACGATGATGTGGGTGAGATTGGATATTATAATGACAAGATTAAAATTAATAATGAAATATGTGTTTAAATGTAAATGTAATAGTAATGGGGATATGAAAGATAGTGAAAATGAAAAATAATCATAAAAAATATGTGATTAAAGTTTATATATAATAAAATTTATAATATATGTTTGATATTTTTGAAATTAATAAATAATTAAAATTTATAATATATAATGTTTGTGTTTGTGGATTTATAATGTTGTAACTATTTGTTATATATAATTAATTATATATAAAATTATCTGTGTAATTACTTATATGTACAAATATGTTTATTTGTGTCTTTATTTAAAATTTTTGTTATTTATTTGTTTTTTTATGTAATTCTATAAGTTTATTTAATACTTTAAATAAATAATTAGAATATAAATTTTTTTTAAAAAAAAAGATTAAAAAGAGAAAGAAGGATAGTGGCGAAAACATAAAAGTTTTTTGTTAGATCTTAAGGCTACAGTCTCAAATCACAAGTACGATACCATTGAAAAGACTGTAGTGGCTTATTTATGTTAACCGAATAGCATTACAGTGCTGCGGTAGGACTTTCCGACTGCACCTCACTAGCATGAAACAAGGATCCAAATGGATCCTAAAACAATTAAGCACGTTCAAATGAAGCATAAGTAATAATTACTCACAAAATCTTACCATTAGATTGATAATGGAAAGTCATATTTAGTATATAAAATTATGAATAATATAGGGTTATTATAATTATTTTATATTATATTTGATTTGTATATTTTTTATAAAATTATAAAGATGATTAATTATTTTTTATATAAAATGATTTAATTTTTTTAAAGTAAAAAGAATTATTTTTAATTTATGAGATTTAATTTATATGTTTTATTATATTTTTAAAAATTATATTAATAATTTAAATTATATAAAAAATAATTTTGATCAATAAATAAATTATTTTATCATAATTTTTGTAAACATTAAACATAAGATATGATAATATTATTTAATTTAATTTTATCATAATATTATTTAATTTAATTTTATCATAATTTTATATATCAAATACATCTTAAGGTTTCAATTTTGGATTGAGCTCTCGTCTACTTAGTTTTTTTCTAAATTCAGTTATTGTTGCTATAACATGTGTAAGATTTATTAATGAATTATGGAAATCATATTTTGAATAGTGATTAAAAATATATTGAAAAGTAAAAGGAAAAATCAAACCCTCTAAATTTCGAGGTTGGTAAGTATAAGGCTTAACATCATTCGAATTTTCTCTTTTAGTAAAAATTGGACTTTTTCTTTTACTCTCTCAATTTTAGACGGTAGCCTTTTCTTTTTTTCTATGGGAATCCATAAAAATATTTTCCTTTGAAAAAAAAAATCATCATGACGATATTTGGAAATTGGATCAAATTTATAGGTGCGTCATCCATTGATAAAGTATTTGAAAAAATAAAAAATTGGGCCAAGTCAGGGAGGAAAATAGGCTGGGTCCAATTATTGGGTGTACGTGTTCCTTAATCTAGTCCACTAGTTGTACTAGTTCCTTTCAGGCTCTTTAGCAAGGCTTGGAGTTGTTCAGGCAACAAGTTGTGACGCCACCGAATCGCCGCCGGGGTAACCCAATAAAATTATAAAAGGTTGTTTCTCTCTCTCTCTCTCTCTCTCTCTACTTATATATATGTAAAGCTAACACGATGTTGGTTCCTCCTTGCTTCCTTTCTGCACTGCTGCCTTTTTCCTCCTCTCTCCCACGGACCAACAAAACAAACAGGCCGCAGGCAGCACTCCTATTCCTTCTCTAAAACCGTTCTCTTTCTTTTTCCCTTTCAATTGGTGCATCATCACTGAAGCTTCTTCTATTCAATCGATTGTTACTGAGACCAAAAAGATAGGCGATTATGGATTTAGACGGCGGCAACAGACGCGTCTTCAACCGACTCGGATCTCCATCTGCCGCCCCAACAGACTCCTCCAAACACCAGAAAGTTTGTTACCATTGGCGGGCCGGTAAGTGTACCCGTTTCCCATGCCCTTTCTTGCACAGCGAACTGCCTCATTCTTCGGGCCCCATTACCGCTAACGGATCGGGTGCCCCCAAACGTTTCGCCGATGATTCTGGATTCTCGGGCCCGGCCCCAAGACGAGGCCCGAACTTCAATAATAATCATAATAATAGCTGGGGGAGAATGGGGCCTAATAAAGTGGTTAGAAAAACGGAGAAAATTTGTAATTATTGGGTGCAAGGGAACTGTAATTACGGAGATAAGTGTAGGTTCTTACATTCTTGGAGTTTAGGGGAAAGTTTTACCATGTTGAATCACCTTGATGGGCACCAAAAAGTAAGTTTCTTTACTTTTTTTTTTTTCTTTGTGGTGTTAATTCTTGGGAGTATGTGACTCTGATGATGATGACGGGTTTATTTGTGGACAGGTTGTTAGTGGAATTGCATTGCCAGCGGGTATGGATAAACTCTATACCGGGAGTAAAGATGAGACTGTGAGAGCTTGGGATACCAACTCTGGTCAGGTTGTGCTTAATTTGTTTAAGCATGAGACTTTAATCAATACCAACTATGTGTCAGGACTTGATTAAGCATGAGACTTTAATCAATTGCAAGAACAGAAATCTCCATAATACTGTTATGAAATTTTCTATGTTATCATGTGTGATCAAATTATTGAAGAGAAAGATGCCAAGAGGCAATTGCTTGTTGGAAGTGTACGTATGCATAATCAGGTAACTTAATTAATGCTAATGAAATCACTAAATTGCTAAAAATCCAACGGATAATGCAGATTACCATCTAATTATTATGATATGAAAGTAAAAGAAGTCACATATAGATGGAAATTACTGCCCAACAGTCTTCATGTGCTAGTTTTCAACAGCAATCATCATTTAGGTAAATCCTCTTAGTTATTATGTTTTTGTCTGATGAATTCTCTGTGACCTTTTATGTAGTGTATGGGTGTGATTCCTCTTAGTGGTGAAGTGGGTTGCATGATCAGTGAAGGTCCTTGGCTGTTTGTTGGTATACCGAATATTGTCAAGGTAAGAATTGAGGCAAATTCCCTACCAGATGTTTCTTCTTTTTTATATTGTTATCTCATTTGAACTTAGAAGAATGATGTTTTTACCATTACTTTAACAATGATCATTTTGCAGGCATGGAACACCCAAACTAACCTAGAGCTGAGTCTTAGCGGACCTGTTGGGCAAGTTTATGCTATGGTTGTGGGTAATGATTTGCTCTTCGCTGGTACACAGGTAATGTTTTAAATATTTGTACATTGTTCTTATTTTCTTATTTTATTTAAAATTCCTTGTTCAGTATGTATGGTCAGTCACCTTTAATCATCATGTTTTCTGCTATGGGCTCTGCCATATTATTGTGCAACAACAATTCATGAAATTGAGGCATGTTCTTTTAGGTGGTCTGACAATGATCTTCTCATAAAATTGCCACTTACCTTGAAAGAACTGTAATAAGATGAACCTAAGCTCTCAAAAGAGCCCTAGATTTTTGAGGAGTCCAAGTTGATATTTGTGCTCGATGAATCTCACTCTGGGAACATGCTTATGTCATTTGATGGACTACCATCTCTCTTTTTCCCTAGCACTCTATTCCCGATACTCAGGAATCAATATCTGTTTTCTGCAGAATGGGACCATATTGGCATGGAAATTTAATGCCGTCACCAACAACTTCGAGCCAGCAGTATCACTTAAAGGTCATACCCTTGCAGTTGTATCATTAGTTGTTGGAGCTAATAGACTATACTCTGGTTCAATGGACCATTCTATAAAGGTTAGGTAGTTTTAGTCTTCCAAGTATTTGATATTGCTGTTGAGAAACTTTGTAGTTTCAAATCACCAATTAATAGTATGTTTTGGTGTTATTCCTTTATTTCCTTTTTTCTTAAAAGGATTATAATTTTTACTAACATATTAGTTATTTTCTTCTAGGTCTGGAGTCTGGAAACTTTGCAATGTCTACAGACTCTGACAGAGCACACTAATGTTGTTATGTCCTTGCTATGCTGGGAACAATTTCTTTTATCTTGTTCATTGGACCAAACAATAAAGGTTAGTGCTATTTTATGGTTATTTGTATCATTTTTATTTTGTTACTTTTTCCTGCCATTAAAGGTAAAGTTGTTTGAATTTTTTTTTATTTTTGTCCAGGTGTGGGTAGCTACTGAAAATGGAAACTTGCAAGTAACATACACTCACAATGAAGATCCTGTATGTTGTTTCATTAAGACATTACGCATGCTTTATTTTGATTTAATGCAATTAGTTGTTAGAAGGAAAGGGATTTGAGGACAGAGTAGAAGGAAAAACTGAATGTAGACGAGAGGAGGTCATCGACGGTCTTTTGGTTGCGGTTTATGTAAGTTGTTAAAGGTGACAGTGAATAAAAAAATGGAGAATGAAGCTTTGATGGTGGTTATTGAATATGACAACGGTGATTGAGGGAAGAAAATGCTACTTAGCTTTGTTTGGTGAGTTTTGGTGAGTTAGAGAGGTTTTCGTGCTCTGTATTTGAGTTGTTCAAGTTACCTTATGGGGAAAAGGTTTTCGGAGAATGTTGGGGATGGAGAAGAGGATAGTTGATTTTGAGAGGCTTTTAGTTTGTATCAACTTGCTTTTCTAGCTGATGCTTTCTGGTTTTTGGTTAATTTAGCCAGGATCTGTTTGAGTCTTGATGGTTCCACCAATGTTCTTTGGTGTAAGTTTCTCTTCTATGCTGAAAACAGTAATTTAGAGGTATAGGAAAAAAAAATGAAAAATAGAGAGAGAAGATACTAATTCTTCTTGCCAAAGTTTTTTGTTTTTTAAATTTCTCTGAGTGTGAATTCCTTTTAGGGGGTGTTTGGTTCATGGATTTTTAGATTCCAATAGAGAAAGTGATTCCGGAGAAAGTGATATTGAAGGGAAATGTGTGGTTTTTGGGTTTTCTGGACCTTAGGGAATATAAGATTTTTGTGTTTTGTTAGAGGAAATGCAAGATTACCTAATAAAATCTTTTACTATATTGTCATTGATGACACGTGACATTTATAACACATGACACTTATAACACATGACACGTGAATAACATGTGAATAAACAAGTGATTTATTTAAATTTTTATGTCACCATAAAAACTGCCTTAGGAATATTTATTAACTTCAGGTGGTATTAAAAGCCATGGTGTAGGAAGTTTGCACTTAATCAAGACAAGTTGTATTTGGAGCTTTGACTTCTACTTGAAAAAGTTGGATGTAGATTGTAAGATGATTACGTGCAGGATTAAATTTAATTTGTGTAGTCAGGTCTGGTTCTAAAAGTTTCTTGGATTTTTTGTAGTCAAGATAGCTTGATCTTCAATATCCATGCGTCTATTCTAGATATAGATCATCATCAAAGTTTAGATTTGTCCACTCTAGTGCAAAATGCAAATGCTTTGGGGATTTTTTTTTTTTTTTTTTTTTGTGTCTTAAATGAAAGAGATAGTAACGGGGAAGGTGTTGTCTATCTCATGGTTTAGTGCACCCGACAGAATAAGTTTTTAATTATTTTGGGAGAGTGGTTCTGTTAGAAGTATTATGTGCATTGTAGGTAGATTTTCGAGTAAAAATACAATCCTAAATGGTTCCAATTCTGTCTTTCAGCGTTTTAATTGTATTTCCTAGGATCTTGTGAAATGTTTAACACTTGAACTGTTGGCTACTCTTTCTAGGGTCTGCTTAATCTTCGTGGAATGCATGACTCAGAGTCCAAGCCTGTCTTGCTGTGCGCATGCAATGACAATTCTGTCCGGCTCTACGATCTGCCCTCGTAAGTTTTAATGGAGACTTGCTTTTATCTTGGTGCACATCTATTTTTTGTTTAACCATTTTGGGTCCTATCATGGAAACATTGTTTTTTCTTTCCTTACGAATTGAAGGTTCTCCGAGAGGGGTAAAATTTTTGCCAAGGAGGAGATTCGTGCCATTGAGGTAGGCCCTGGTGGCCTTTTTTTCACCGGCGATGGAACTGGTTTTAGAGTGTGGAAGTTGGCAGAACCAATTGCGACGTCCTGATGCTTTGCATCATTTTATAACAATATTCATCATTAGGGTTTTTTTTTTTTTGGTTAATTGTTTTATTTTTTTTCATCTTTTTGGCAGCTTTTTAAGTTTGCTGTAGAAATTACAAGTTAACAGAACAATTTTGTTCCTGGTGGAATGTTTAGTAGCACCAAGCCCTTCGCCTTGGTGTGTGCCATAAGTTAATATAAAGAACGCTTAATAACGAATAAACTCTAGCAGTCAGACGATTCAATATCCGTTGGAGATAATTAGTTGTAATGTGCCAAATTGAATTGGTATTTTTAGAGGATGTTGTCTTCCTCACGTAATTGTTCATCAAATGCCTCCAATATCTCATGTGAAAAAATTGCAAAACAAAAAATTTACTAGACGTATATAGCCATAGGTTTTTAAAAAGTCCATTTTCTTATACATACCTTCTACTTTTCATATGCCACAATTTTGTTAGAATACTTTTCCCCCAATTCATCTGAAATGTTCACATACATACAAGCAGTATCGAAGTCACAGATTAAACATAACCTTAATGGCATTGCCACCACCGATCGCTGGTTTCTAAAACGTCTTCCACCTCTCTCTGAGAAAACCCAAACCTGTGGGTTATGAGAGGCTTCACATCAATCTTACCGCTTATTCTAAACTCAAGGCACAAAGGCAGTGTGTTCTTTTACCGGAAGATTCCAATAACATCAACCTTCCTGCATTTAAACCATCATCATCCAACGAGTGGTGAAGGCACAAAATAGCAAAGACTCCTGAAATCATAGGTTTAATCTCTACAAATCACTGTAACACTTTGATGCAATTTTCATTTGTGAGTACTAGGTTCCAACAATTCACTGTCTAATTCCCCGACAATGGATCACAACTAAACCATACGTAATGCTATAACCAAAATTTTCAAATGAGTTAAATAAATCATTAAAATAAGTAACTTGCCGTTGCAGCAGTTGGAGTGGGACGGACGGTCATCTCGGAATGGCCTATTCCCACAAGGCAAACATTGCTACCGGCACGAGTGGCACTCAGACAGTTTGACATCGTTTTGTTAAAGCCAGCACAATTAAAGCTTACATCTACTCCTGCTCCCATTATTTTACATATTCTTTATACTTCTTCAGGTATGTCCCGTAATATAATGAAATTAGAACATAAAACTGTCTAAAAGTCAGACAATGGAGTAAAAGATCCTCATGACGTTGTATATTTGACAATCCTTGACTTGAAATTTAAATGAATAATGACATTTGAAATAATGATGATTCAGAAAGAATTGAAATGAAGAGAATTTATAGGCATAATTTGCTAGGCAAAAGAAAAAGGGACTTTAAGGATGTTATGAACCTAAATATTAGTTCAAACTGTAACAAATCCATCAGCACCAATATCCTGGGCAACAGAGAGTCGATTGTCATCCATATCTACAATGACAATTCTAGGTGCCCCAAAAGCACGAGCTGCCATCAATAGCAACGAGGCCTAGCGGTCCTGCACCCCTGACCAACACATTTGTTTCCGGACCAACATTAGCTCGGCGACAAGCATGAACCGCTAAGCTCAAGGACTCACACATCACCCCTCCTTCCAAGCTCACATTGTCTGGCAGTTTGAAAAACAAATTGGCAGGATGCACAACCTACGTCAAAAATCAACTTATGCATTACCTTAGCAGTCCAAAAGATATGATTCCATCAAATTCATTTCCAGTCCCTTCAAAGAAAATGACCAACGTTGCATACAATATGATGCCAATGCATGTTTATTTTTAAATGAGAACCACCACATTTTCATCATTGCCTCGTAGCATGATGCCAGACATAATTGAACATTAGCCAAACCTTTAAAACCAACTTGACTGTAGGACAAATCTCCCATGTTTATGCTAGCTTTGAAGAGGATCGCATAATTAGATTGCTTTTATAATGCATAGTTTTTTTTATTATTTTTTTATTTAAGAATATAGTTTTCATTCTCTACGTAGTAGGAAAATTCTTTGGCTTGTTAGCGTTGTAAGGTCTCACATCAAGCATGAGTTTAGATGTAACAAAATGACATTTAGAACTACAACAAACATTATATTCAACATAGACCACAATAGAAACAACCAAGTAAGCTGTTAACCGAGTTTGTAACAATTTTAGACACAAGAATCCCAATTTACATTGACAGAATTGTATCCTTGAAGCTTTTTGAATCTGAAAATCAAAGACTACCCATTAGTAAACCTCTAAATAAACTTGAGAATTTTTGGATCAAGGTCCCCTCATAATATATTGTCACCGTAATAAGAAATGCAGCACCCTTAGTTTCACGCTTTCGATGGTTTATTTAATAAGCTATATGTAGTTGGTATTGTAGTAGTAAAATGAAGCACCAGTAAATAAGCTAGAACCCACGCTGAAATGCAGCTTATAGGTTCACCGGATGAGCAAGAGAACCATGACTAGGTGGAGTGGCAAAAAACTTCATTTCACGGTATAGATTGTATCGCCAGCAAAGATCCCTGGTTCCAAAGTCCCACGCTCTCCAGGAACTAAATTCTTGACTGCCCTTCCAACCTCCTCTATGATCCCAGTACACTCAAGCCCAATCATCATTGGTTCTTTCACCACAAAATCCATACATCCCAATTTCTAAAACACAAAAATTTACAATAAAACTAATGGCAAAGTCAGTAAAAGGATGAATAAATTCATTTTGGTCATCTTCCTGAATAATTTTCCTTTTGATTGGCAAAGAAATGAAGGTAAGGAATAGAAAAGCAGTTTAGAAACGGAGGCAAATTTACTCAAATCAAATACTTGTAACAAGACCAAAAATTTGTCTTTGATTCATTTGTTATAGTCTCAGCAATAAAACGGAAGCTTTGTTAAACTATCAAAATCTGGAAATCTTAGTAAGAACCATATTTGATTAAGGACAAAACTTGAATGAAGTTTTATGTGAAATTCATATTTTATGTGAAGTTCATGAAGTTAATTATTAAAAATGATTAAATAAAAATTTTAATAAAAAATTGAAATCAATAAATTAATAGAATTCAATAAAATTTCCAATAATATGAAAAAAAAATTTTGAAATTATTATTTATAATTTAAATTTGATCGATATTTATTCATCCATAAAAATTATCAAAACTTTTAGTAAAAATGTTAATACAAAAAATATATTAAATTTTTTTTCAAAATTTTCACAAAACAAAAACTTTCAATTTATGGATTTGATTTTTTTTATTTTAGTTATTACTTAACCGATTTTAACAAAAAAAAAAAAAAAAACGTCACAAACTTCATTTAAAACTTAATTTAAATGTTTCCCATTTGATTAATGTATATTAAAAAAGCAAGAACTAGCTGCAAGAAGGATATACCTTTAGGTAGTGACCATCACTTACACAGATACCAACAGCTTTCATACTAACTCTGGAATCATAGGGTCCTTAAATAAACTTTTTTAAGGAACAAAGGAGTAGTAATCAATCAATAAGAAAGAAAATGGGCAAAAGAACATGGTAAACACTGATCATAAACATCATACCAAGAGGAGGGAGGTTGAATGGTTGAATCTTGAGGGTGTTGAGACCCACAAGACAAGCAGCAATGTTTTATTCTTCTCCATTTTTGGCTTCTTCATGGGATTTCCCTCTTTTTCTCATTTTCTTCACACTTGCACAGTTTCAAACTGTACTTTGTTTAGAGGGGACTGGATTTGTGCTCAAAGTTTTTATTATTTTTAAAAGTATCTCTTTTAAAAAATGTTTGTGAATAAGAGGGGTGGAAAGGAATCTGATGCAAGGAGAGATACGTCGTGGATAATAAACAAATATTAATGGTATGATTTTATATACGAAGAGTAGCTTTGCTTTCCGCGACATCTCTTTGGAAAGAACTTGATATTTTGCATTAGGTTGATTTTCTCATGTAAACATCAAATTTATTTGGATTCTCTGGATTTTAAATTTTATCAAGTTTTATCATGTTTTTGGGATCAAAAGGTTCGATTTCAATTTCCTTGACTCATGGCCCAAGACAAAGCTCATTTGATGGCTCATTTTTGCTTATTTAGCTTTAGTTTAATTTTTATTTGATAATTTTTAAATGGTATTAAAATAATTTTTTTAAAAAAATGGGGGTACAGTGATGGTGGGTGCCGTGCACGGCATGGTATCCCAGTTGTCTAAGCCACTACCAACTCTTTGAGCCACTACCTATTCCCTGAGCCACCACTTGCCCCCTGAGTCATCAATTGCCCTAACAGCAACAACTGTCCCCTATCGTTATCTCTCTTGCAGCCAAAAAAAACTTTGCTAGAAAGAATAAAACATAAGGAATAGAAAACAAAAAGAGAAGACTTTTTCAAAATATTTAAAAAAAAAAAAAAACCACCAAAAAGGGGGAAAAACTCTACAAAAATTTACAAAAAAAAAAAGAGTTTCTATCCAACCAAAAAAAAAAAAACCTTTCTAGCCTACAAAAACAACAAACCAAAACCAAACATAGAAAACTCAAAAAAAAAAAAAACATAGTCCTTTCGAGCAGGGAACAGCACCAAGGAAAAAAAAAAGTAGCTAGTTTTAGATATTTTTTTTCGGGTTTGAACCAAAGGGGTTTACGTAGATCTAGGTTGTTTGGGATTTTTTTTTTGGTTGAAAAAGAGGCTAAATTGTTAAAAAGGGGTTGAAAGGAGCTTTTAGGGAGTTTTTTGGGCTTTTTGACAATTGACATGGCGGTTGGCAATCGACAATGATGAAAAGCATGGCAACCAGTAAGGTGGAGAGCTATGGTTAGTACGACGGAAGGTGATTGGATTCTAGGTCTGTTGGGGAAAGTTGACAGAGTTTTTTTGAAGGTTTTTTTTAAAGGATGAAAATGAGCTAAATAAATATGGCTTTTATATAAAAGAATGAGGCCTAAAACGATGCCGTATAGGCCTCTTGGATCCACGTGTCAACCCACTAATTGATCGAAAACCGTTGCACCTAACCTGCCACAACCCCCTAATTTAGCTTTCAACCGATTCAATTGAACTGCTCATCCGAAACCAGACCGTTGTTGAACTACTAGTTTCCTTACCAAATTGAGGTAATCTAATCAAATCGAACCGAAAGCTATTGAACCTCTCTAGACCGATCAATTCAGGAAATTTTATATTTTTATAATTTTTATATATTTATTTATTATTATTTTGTTATTTATTTTCTTGTTCACACATATTTTAATTTTGAATTTTCCAAAAAAAAAACATTCTTTTAAAAATAATATTAAAAAATGAAAATAATTTCTAAACTTTTGATAAGTTTAAATGTGAAAAAAATTAAAAATAATTAAAAAATAAAAAAAAATTCTTATTCGATGATGAAATTTTAAGATATTCCAAGTAACGATGCCTACAAAATATTTAGGTGAGAAGATTTTTTTTTAAAAATATTACCAGTATATTAAAGTATTTATAAAAAATTTTTAATACAATAAAAATTTTCTTTTTCTGTAAAATAAAATACAATAAAACAAAATTGAATAAATAAATAAATAAAAATAATAAAAAGTAAGGGAAACGAAAATTTTACTTAATGGTGAGATTTTAAGATATTTCAAGTAGTACTACCTTAAAAAAACTCTATGTGAGAAGTTTTTTTAAATATTACTAGTGTATTAGAATATTTATAAAAATTTTTAATATAATAAAAATTTTTATTTTCTTCTATGAAATATATAGAAATTAAAAAAACCAATATTTTGTTAAAAAAATAAAATATATGCATTGATATTTTATCATTCACATTGCATGCATGTCCTTGTATTTATGAAAATTAAATATGAGCCTCTAAAATGAGATTCTAAGGTATTACAAGTAACGATGTCTAAAAAATCTTTAGATGACGAAAAATTCTTTTGATGTTACCAATGTATTGGAACATTCTAAAAATTCATTCAA